AATATTGGCTTTACAACATTCAAAATTTTCGGTTGATTATGGGAGATTTTGTTTTTGGCAATGGATTTCTGTGATTTAGTTTATTTTTCCACTAAACTGGAAATCAGTGGCCTTGTAGTGAATAATACTTTGTTTCTTACGGATGCATTTCAAGGAAGAGTTAAACCAGAGGAATAATAGATCTCTTTGTTAGATTAAATTTTGGGATTTATAATGTAGATTACATGCTCTAAAATTTCCTGCTCTGGGATCTGCTACTTGGTAAATTGCACCTATGTAAAAATTGATTTAAAAACCAGGTAATTAACAAAGGAGATTCTACCGTGATGATTTGCAGTTGATCTACATTATCTACATTTGTATTAGTGAAACTAATTTTATGGACTGACATAGCATGAGTTAAAAGCACGCTGATTTATTTCAGAGAACTCCAAAATAAAACTAAATTCACTTCAAACTGATGCACTACATTTTGAGACCAATGAACCACTGTTCCATTTCTGTCTATTTATTTTTAACTGACGAGAACATAGAACAATTACCCCGTTTTGAAAATGTTGTATCCCAAGGATCAAAGTACTTTATTGTGCTATGTAAGCTGAGGAGAAACAATTCTCAATGTGACTGGGGAAGAGTACAGATCTCAAATAGAACCAGTTCACCTTACACCAGCTAATCTTTGAATCCTGTGATCACAACACTGTGGGTCTTTGTATTCAGGGCCAGGTCAGAAGATAAAGGTCAGTGACTGACATTTTGATTCTTTCAAATAGATTGAACAAGAGTATAATAATTGAAACTGAAGCTTTTTGAAATGTTGAATTTGAAGAATATTATATTGAACTCACCATTTGGGTTCTCTGCATTTAAAAGAGGGGAGTCACTGGCTGCCTGCCTCTTTTGTTCTTGGGCAGCCCTGTCAATTCGTATTATTGAGGCATTCTGCCATCAGTGGACACTGCAGGAAATCAAGTGTCTAACTAACAGGGAGAGTAATATTACAGTTTAGTTTCACAACTTTCTCTTTAGTTGAGTTGATGTTTTTGTCCCTTGTTTCATAAATTATGTGCATATTTACATGTCTGATGATATTGGGGCAACCCAGTTCCATCTCTGTGGATCAATTAAAAAATGCAGTCACTGCATGGTTGATTGTGCCAGTTCTGATTTATTTTAAGCTTCTGTGGACTTAATTGGATCACATCTTGGACAATTGTATTAGTGATACCTCAACAGGAGTATTTGTGTTTCTGGTTTTGTCAGGTGAAAGTGGATAATGCAACTAAGATGGGCCATTTAGTTAGGGTTCTTGTGGTGCAGTGGAAGTGTCCTTACGCCTGAGTTCAAATCCCACTTGCTCCATAGGTGTGTAATAACATCTCTGAAAAGGTTGATTAAAAAATATCTAGGCCGTTTAGTTATGTGTTGCTGGGCTGGCTGTTGCACATCATTCTTACCAGGGAAAATGGACTTTGTTCATGGTTGTTGAGGCACACCACTGTCTGAAGATTAGAGAAATGAGCAATCACATTTTGATAAATGTCTATTAGTAGCAGAAAGCTACTGGTCAGTTTAAAATTGATGATTATGCTATATAAAACAAAGGAATGGTGCTGGATTAAACTAGTTTATCAGACCTAATTGTAAGACCTTCCTTCTGCCTGGCTTTACCAGTTCATTGAAGTTAGTAAGTGAATGCAAGTGGTTATACTTGGAATCAAACAGTAGTTGTAACTTGCAAAACTTTTCTTGTTTTAAGAAATAAAATTCTGTACTAGAGACTTGATATTTCTGTGTACCTTTCTGTGGTAATGTTGTCAGCCTTACTATTCTTGATCATTTGAAAGTGAAAAGTCCAAAGTCTATTAATTTAAAAACTCTTGTCAAGGGATTTAAACAATGAATTGTTCTCTTCCTTCCTTGCAGGTGTCTACAAAACTACATTCCTGCCTACAGCTTAACTCTTTCTTGTCCAATCTGCCGTCAGACCTCTATCTTGCCTGAAAAGGGAGTTTCTGCGCTACAGAATAACTTTTTCATTACAAACCTAATGGATGTTCTTCAGCGGACTCCAGACAACAGCTGTGAGGACTCCTCCATCCTGGAGACTGTCACAGCAGTAGCAGCAGGGAAACCCCTTTCCTGTCCAAATCATGATGGAAATGTAAGTTAACCCATTGTGGTGCTACTCTGCTTCAACTTTAATCAGAATTGATTATTAAACTTGTCTGTTTTAGTAATGACAATGATGGTAGTAAAATTTTATACCCACTGTAAGTTGAGTATATTGTTCAACCAAGACTGGATTAATAGGTTTGCTTCACTTCTCTCTTGCTTTAGAACTTGTAGTAATTTAATCTTGCAATACTTGAACAACACTAATAATAATTCAGCAAATGAGACTATAAATTATTTGATGAAACCCTATTAGGCAGATATTAGATTACACTAGGTTTGTTATCTAATTTTTCTGTAATTAATGTACTCCCCATTTCTGTGAAGGCTTTTTCATTTCCAAATTATTCTCCATGATAGATATTTCAAATATGGTGAGAATCCAAAGCCAACTCTTTATCATGTTATTCCCAACTGGCCATGTACGTCTTTCAAGCAGAAAACTTTAGACAAATTAAGAATCGAAGACTTTGTTTCTCTACCATAAGATATAGGAACGGATTTAGGCTATTTGGCCCATCAAGTTTTCTCCGCCATTCAGTCATGGCTGACATGTTTCTCAACCCTATTCTCCTGCCTTCTCCCTGTAACCTGTAATCCTCTTACTAATCAAGAACCTATCTATTTCTGTTTTTAAAAACATTAAATGACTTGGTCTCCATGCCTTCTGTGACAATGAGTTCCACAGACTCTCAACCCTAGAGTTGAAGAAATTCCTCCTCCTCTCAGTTCTAAAGGGTCATCCCTTCACTTTGAGGCTGTGCCCTTGGGTCCCAGTCTCTTCTACTAGTGGAAACATCTTCTCTATGTTCATCTATCCAGACCTCCACAGTATTATGTATGTTTCAGTCAGATTACCTCCACCCTGACCCTTAAACTCCAAGTACAAACCCAGAGTCCTCAACTGCTCCTCATGACAAGCTCTTCATCCCCGGGATCATTCTTGTAATCCTCCTCTGGACCCCCTCCAATGCCAGCACATCTGTCCTCGGATACGGGGCCTAAAACTGCTTACGATATTCCAAATGCATCTGACCATAGCCTTATACAGCCTGGGCAGTACACCTCTGATCTTATTCTAGCCCACTTGAAATGAATGCTAACATTGTATTTACCTTCCTAACTACCAACTGAACCTGCATGTTAACCTTAGAAGAATACTGAACTGGGACTCTCCAGTTCCTTTTATGCTTCAGATTTCTGAAGCTTTAGAAAATAGTCTACGCCTCTATTTTTCCTACCAAAGTGCATAACTTCAGACTTTCCCACATTATATTCCATCTGCCACTTCTTTGTCCACTCTCTTGGCCTGTCCAAGTCCTTCTGCAGCCTTTCTGTTTTCTCAACACTACCTGTCCCTTCACCTATCTTTATGTCGTCTTGTGTCATTAGCAACAATGCCCTCATTCCTTTGTCCAGATTTTTTGATTATCCTGTATCCTTGTTTTTGGGAGCTGCAAGTAAAACAGAACAATTGTACTATAATAATCCTAATAACTTTAGATCAAAAAAGTTGGCACAATCTGTTAAACAATGTTATATGTAGCTCTAGATCAATTAATCACAGACCTAATCTATCAAGGGAGTAATCCTGTGTTATAGATTAAACTCTTAGGAAACTTCATGGTTTTTACTGTAATATAAGATAGCTCTTGAAATTTTTCTTGATTCAGATTGTCTTTCTCCTAAGGTGAGTTTTATTCATTTAAGAAATAGCAACTTTAAGTTCTAGAGTTTCAATTTCATAAAGCTGGGATTTTGTAGCATTAACACCCTGTGACATGTCCAACCTGCATTATTGCTGGCAGCAGTGTGTACCATCTATAAAATACACTATATAGCAACTTACTGTTGACAGCACTTTCCAAACCTGTGACCTCTACCACCTGGAAGGACAGTGGTAGCAGATTCTTGGGAACACCACTAAATGCAGGTTCCCCTCCAAGCCACCTACCATGCTGATTTCCAACTATTTGCATTTACTTCAGTCATTAAGTCAAAATATTGACCTCCCTAACCCCACTGTGGTATTCCCACACCACAAGGACTGCAACAGTTTGAGGTAGCTCACCACTGTCTTCATCAGGGCTATTAGGGATGGTATATAAATGCTGGCCTATCCAGCCGTGCCCACATCTTGTAAATGAATAACTGATTTCCAAACAGGACAAGAAGCAGGCAGGAGACTTTGTTGGAATCCAGGTAGAAGAAAGTGTGAGATTTCTTGTTGGTTCTATAGTCATGAAAAGAACCTACAACTAATTTATGAAAATATAGACCAAGGTTATTTTTATTTATCTCTCCATAGCCCAATAATCCCACCACAAAGTCAAACGGAGACTTTGATAAAATATCCTGGATGTTTAATACCAAACTATTAGAAGTAATGCTTGAAATGTGCAGGGTTTTGTTTTGAGCCTTGGGCTGAAGGGACTGTGAACATTGAAATATTAAGTCAAAGTGAATGGAACAAATGGTTTTGCTACAAGCACAAGTGTCTGGAGAGCGTGCTATAATAATTTTCTAACAACTTTTCCCCTCCAGTGTTAACACATCTATCACTGTCTTTCTCCAGGTAATGGAGTTTTACTGCCAATCCTGTGAGACAGCAATGTGTCACGAATGTACAGAAGGTGAACATGCCGAGCACCCAACTGTTCCCCTCAAGGATGTGGTAGAGCAGCACAAGTCTTCCCTGCAGACTCAACTGGAGGCTGTCAAACAGAGGTAATTGCGTAATGTGCAGGCAACATGAGTTTAGCTTGGCGTTTGATCATCTGTGTTCGGGTGGGAATAATTTCCGTTGGTGAGACGTGAGCTAACTTGAGTTAACAAATTTCTTTGACACAGACACAGGTCATCAAGGATAAAATAATAACCCTGATACTTGCAAATGCCAGAAAAGATCTTGGAATCATGAATTTCACAGCATCCAGCAAAAAAAAACAGTCTTTAGCTGGTCGGAGGGGTTTATCCCTCTCTTCTCTCGGGAGTTACCAGTTCTGAATCTCTTTAGCTTTGAATTTCACAAATTTCACACTGAGGGCACCTGTCCCTTTGGAGTGCCCTCAGCGCCCTTTGCTCTCACTGGCCTTGTTGCGAAGGCTGCAGAGCTGCTGGCCCTCTAGTTAGGTTTGTAGCACAAAGAGTCAGTCTGAGTGCTGCCGGAAGCAGCCTCTGGGCTGGTTGGACCCATGGTTGTGTTTCCCACAAGTGAGCCTGGGACCCTGCCCGACCCTTGCCGTTTGGTCCAGGAGACAGGGTCCTATCCAATCCATTGGATAATTTAATTCTTTTCAGAGATCTATCCCATTTCTCTACTCTTTCACTCCTTTTTGTGGGCGTTTTGTTTTCTTATAGCTTTATTCATCAAACTTCCTTTGGAAAATTAGTGGCTTTAATCAGGCAGAACGTTTCAAATCATCACAACTCCCTGTGTGAAAAATATTCTCCTCTTCTCTTCTCTCTAGTTTTTGTCACTGATGTAGTGAATAGTTCTAATTAAAAATGTGTTCAAATAGAAAGCAATACAACTGAAACTTTATTCAGACTTCTTAATCCATATGGGTGGAAATTTAGTCTGTTATATCCTCCATCCTCCTAATGCATTTGATAAATGAGACCAAGTTGCCTCTGGTCAACAACTTGCCAATTTCTGCCAGCAGAAGTAAATTGAATTGCACTTGGCAAAGGATCAGTGTAGCTCTGCATGTGCGGCACTGCCCTCTCCAGGCATCAAAACACTATTAAATAAACTGGGACTTTTTTCACTGGAGAGTAGGAGGTTGAGGGGTGACCTTCGAGGTTTATAGAATCATGAGGGGCATAGATAAGGTGGGTAGCAAAGGCCTTTTCCCTAGGGTTGGAGGAGTTCAAAACTAGGAGGCATATTTTTAAGGCAAGAGGAGAAAGATTTAAAAGGGACATAAGGGGGCAACATTTTCTCTCAGAGGGTGGTTCGTACGTAGAATGAACTGCCAGAGGAAGTGATAGATGTGGGTACAGTTACAACATTTAAAGGAGGTTTGGATAGGTACATGAATAGGAAATGTTTAGAGGGATATGGGCCAAATGCAGGCAAAAAGGACTGGTCTAGTTTGGGAAACTTGGCTGGCCTGGACCAGTTGGACTGAAAGATATCTTTCCATGCTGTATGACTCTGACTCTGTAAATGTTTGGTCAAATAGCAGAAACATAAACCATTCTTTCTCCACCGGCATGTTACTTTGCAGTTCCAGCATTTTTCTCCCCCTCTGCTCTCCCACCCCACTTTGTTTCTTTTTTTTTTGTTTTCTCCCTCTCCTGGACCACGTGTATTGCTGACAAGGCAAGGGTAAGCAAGAATCCTTCATCAAGAAAGTAAGAAAAATGCCTTGGTTGTCACTGCACTTCTACCATGAGTTAGGTTCTAATGTGCTCTGGCTTTGTCAATTGTTAAGCTACATGGTGACTCTAAATTTTCTGAAGGGGCCTAGATTGGTGATCTATTAATGACCCATTACCTCCTCAAATTGCTGACTTTGCTGCTTCTGTTTAAAGCCAATGTGTTCTATTAGTAATTCTGAGGGAACTCATTCAGCGTTCTCAAATTGGCACCCAGCTGTAGCTCATAGGGACATCTTGTTCTACCAACAGAGGTAGAATTGTCTGTAAGGATGATAGATGTGGGAGAATCATGAACTTGGCTGCACTCATGCCATTACAAATGAATAGAAAATTGAAATGAAGAAATAGATTTTCCCAAGAAACAAACTGAAGTGGCTTTCAGCTTTGGCTGCTTTTTGAAGAATAATCTTACATAGATAAAGTTTATAGCATTCTGAAATAATTCTGTGCTTGACAGTGTTTCTTTGTTTACCACTGCCTGCAGATTTGTGAAGTAGAAAGTTTGCAGACTGAACCATCCTTCAACAATAATGCAGTCAGCTTTGCTAATTCATGCTTCTTCATCTTTCTGACTTTTTTGAGTGGAGAAATTATAACTACATGGATGTTAGTGCACAGAACTGGCCAATCTGCCCAACAGTGCTATGCTGGCATTTATGTCCCATATGAGCTTTCAATTTTACTTTGTCTAATCCTATCCACATATCCTTCCTAATTATTTTATACCTCCTGTACTAATGTAACACTTTTTAAGAAGTGTACGTCTAGACTATTCACCTTGACTGTTTAAATGTAGTGCTTGAGTTCCAATCTATAGATAAGAAAATCTGTTTTTGTTTTTGTATTGGATTTATTAATAATAATCTTTTCGTATTAATGGCACCTGGTATTGGATGTCCTCATAAGTAAATATTCTCTCTGTCTACCTTGTCAATTTCCTTAATATTTTTAAAAATCTTAAAGCTCCAACTTATTTAAGTATTGTGATGGTTCTAACCTCTTTGGTTCCGGTATCATCCTGATAAACCTCCTTATCTTTTCTAGTGTTTTTATATCTATCTTGTAAGTTTTTTGGTCGCCCAAATTACAAGAGCATGGTATGATTCAAATAAGCTCCTATTGTAGTTTGACATAAATTCATTGCATTTAATTTCTTCCCTTGATTGAAAGCCAATACTTTATTTGCATCTTTCTGACCTTTGTAATTGGTGCTGCTTTTTTTAATGATTTGTGAATCTGTACTTGCAGATATTGGGTAAACTGTTAAGAAATAGATGAACTGACAGTAAGATCATCTGCAAGGAAATATAAAATAGCTAAGTTAAACATCAGTTCCTTTTTTTTTACAGGATGAAATTAGTACTGTGAAGCCTGGAAATGACAGATGAACCAGTATTTCATCTGCCTTCACAGTAGGTGGCACATGAAACAACTCGAATAGTAGAAAATCCAAGAGGCAGGAGGGAGGGAGAGACTTAAAATAATCAGAATCAGTCACAAGAGAAAAGCCACTTGGATTAACTGCTATAATAAGGTGTAGAGCTGGAGGAACACAGCAGGCCAGGCAGCATCAGAGGAGCAGGAAAGATGACGTTTTGGGTCTGGACCCTTCTTCAGAAATGGGGTAGGGGAAGGGGGCTCTGAAATAAATAGAGAGGGGGAGGTGGTGACAGAAGGTGGATGGTGGAGAGAAGACAGACAGGTCAAGGAGGCAGGGATGAAGCTAGTAAAGGTGAGTGTAGGTAGAGTTGGGATGGGGGTTGGTCAGTGAGGTGGAAGGAGCAGATAGGTGGGAGAGAAGACGGACAGGTCAAGGAAGTGGGGGTGGGGGGGTGCGGGTGCTGGTCTTGGAATGAGTTCGGGGTTGGGGAGATTTTGAAGCTCATAAAGTCCACATTGAGACCATTGGGTTGTAAGCTTCCAAGGCGGAATATGAAATGCTGTTCCTCCAGTTTCCGGGTGGCATCATTGTGACACTGGAGGAGGCCCAGGATGGACGTGTCGTTCAGGGAGTGGGAGGGGGAGTTGAAGTGGGTCTCAACTGTGAGGTGTTGTCGTTTTGTCGTGAACCGAGTGTAGGTGCTCCACGAAGCAGTCTCCGAGCCTCCGCTTGGCCTCCCCGATGTAGAGGAGGCCACATCGGGAACAGCGGACACAATAGACCACATTAGTGGATGTGCAGGTGAACATCTGTTTAATGTGGAAGGTTTTCTTGGGGCCTGGGATGGAGGTGAGGGGGGAGGTGTAGGAGGAGGTGTAGCACCTCCTGCAGTTGCAGGGGAAGGCATCTCTTGGATTAACTGCTGACGTGTTCCTTGGATCTGATGGCCTCCATCCTAGCATCTTAAAATAGGTAACTTAAAATAGTTTTCCACAATTACCTTTACACAGGAAAGGTTCCAGTGTGTTGGAAAATAGCAAATGTAAAGTTCCATAATCAATGAGGGAGATGGAAAATGAGTTAATCTAACACCTGTCATTAGGAAAAATGTTGGACTCCATTATGATAGAAATAGTAGCTGGACACTTTCAAGTGGACATTTTATGGAGGGGGAATCGCATTTTTAGTATTATTATTTTGGAGTTCTCTTGTGAATACAACAAACCAGAAGGATAAAGGGGAACCAGTATATATGTTTTTTTGGATTTGAAAAGGCCTTTAAAGTGACACAAAAGATTCTTGGTGTGTGGGGTAATCTGTTAGCATGGACAGAGAATTGGCTAACTGTGAATTAGGATAAAAGGTTTATTTCCAGATTAACAAACTATAAAGTGTGGGGTACCATAAGAATTGGTAGTAGGACCTGAAATATTTTCAATTTGTTTATGACTTAGATTAGAAGACAGTGTACTGTAGCCAAATCTCCTGACATTATAAAAATAAGTGTGAAAGCAAGTTGTGAGGAGATTTCTTTACTTTGGCAGAATCATCTAATCCTGGAGGTGAAAGCCGCTTAATTAGGTGGGGTGGTGGCATTACAGAACACTCACCTTTTTACCTTCACCCGAGTTGAGTTCTGGGCAGAAGCGACAAAGCTCCACCTTTCTCTGCAACCCTTTGAGGTGCTTAAATGGTCAACTAATTACAACTAAGGGTCTGTTCAATTCTGACCTGCACGTGGGGCAAAAGAGTTGGCCTTTCTGACTGGTAAAATAGCACAGGTAGGCTGTCATTTATTACCCCTTTGATTTGAACTAAAATGCAATTACCGAACACATTGGTCCACACAATCTTGGTTATCCTTCTATCAGCAGTGACAGTTGCCTTGGTGGCACTGCTGAGGTGAATGAGTTGCTGGCCTCAACTCATCTGGTGGGACTTTCACTCCAGGGACTTGATT